TGGCTTCTGAATGGCCGCTCATAGCGGCTGCTGGCCGCTCACGCTGTCTGCAGGCTACACACAGTAGCCCATGGCAACCCATGCAGCACGGGCTGCAGCCTACGACATCTACCATGACTCCTGGCAGCCCAGGTTGAGCTGTTGTTCAGCATCTTAGCTGTAGAGGGCAGTGTCACTGGCCCTCATATGTGGGATCAGAACCAGGGTCCTCTGGCGTCCCAAGCCAGCTCTTAACCAACATGCCATTCAGCCGGCCTTTCAGTATTATGTTTACACTTAAGAGTAACCCAGCGCATATTCAATTTCTCCATTTGTAACCAGTGTCTTTAACAGCTGTTGCTTATTCAACCGGGATTTTTTCCAGGACCACGCATTATATTTGGCGCTAAACTTCAAGTTTAAGCCCTGAAGTTTGCGAATTCTGAGAACACCGGGGAAAGCCGAAGGTGAAGGCAACATTTTACAACCATCGAAAAAACTGGAAACTCGTTGCTAAATCGCAAAACGGAGCGGCAGCGGCGTTTTATGGGAAATGTAGTCTCATGTGGACCTGGCTGGCCGCGCAGGACCCTGGGAACGGGTCTTCTGGGCTCCGCCGGCTCCCGTACAGCTCTAGTCCCGCCTCCCTCCTTCCGCTCGGTCCTTGAACACGTGGAGATCACCTCGTGGACCGCGGCGTCCTCGCGGGCTCCGACGATTCGCATGTAAAGTTAGAGCGCGGGGATGTTGGGGCATCTGGGGGACATGGAGACCAGCATGAAGCGGGTGGGGGCTTGTGTCTGGGGAGGAGGGAAGGGGAAGTCCCGGGAATCCCCCAGGCGGGGTTGTCAGTGCAGAGCCGGCTGGGACCTGTTGGGGGGCCTCTTGCCCTTCGGGTTCCCGGGGCGCAGATGGGACTGAGCCCGGTGAGGAGCAGGTGGTCGGTGGGGTCGGGGTGCAGGGACCTTGTGCCCGCCCCGCCCGCCACCGGACGGGAGAAAATCCAGTGCGGGCGGCAGGAGGGGAAAGCGCGTTATAATGAAACCGCGACAGAGGCAGAAAGCTGGGCGGTGAGTCTGCGGCGAGAGCCCGAGCTCTGGGGCCGGAAAGACCGGGTAGAGCCCAGCTCTGTCAGCTGTAGGCAGGGGCGACAGGGAACCTGCGTCAGAGAGTCCGGTTTCCTATCTGAAAACAATGGCGGTCTGAGACAAGTTCTCGCTTGTAAAGCAAATGGGCAACTGAGTAAATGACAACTGCCATTATGTTCAAAAGACAGTTTTTTCTATTTAATGGGATGCTTGTGTAAACCTCACAACCACTTTATGAGGTAGGCATAATTATCCGCATGAGAATAAAAGAAAGTGCTGAGGCCCAGGTTGGTGGAGTGATATGCTCGGGTCACAAGCTCATGGTGAGGGAGCTCCAAATCAGGAGCAGGTGTGCTTTAAATCTCAGACTATATCTAAATATCACACCTACCTAAAACCATCATTACAGCCTTAACAGCACTTAACGGAGTCACCTGACCCTAAACATCCAGGAATAAAATAGGAAGTGATTGTGAATGGACTCTCAGCACTGGCTGGTTGATGCATTCCGGAATTTCTGGTGTCTCATCAGAATTCTGAGATCAGACAGAGGTTCTGAGGTCATCCTGCACTGGCAGGTTGTCTGTGTTTTAAGTCTGAAATTATAGGCATTTTAAGAGTGTCAGGTTTGTGGCCCTAAAGTGAATTTGTTGCCCAGAGCCAGGTCCCAGATTTTGGGAAACATTTATTTTAGAGCAAAGCAGCTCCTGTGATGTAGGAATCAGGATGTCTCCAGGAACAGGAATGTTACCTGAAAGGGAACAGCCCTGTACTTAGTCTTCTGACCAGAGCTTCAGAGAGGAGGCAAAAGAACACAGGAAGCAGCAGGGCCTGTATTTGCAGGGTCAGAAGTTCTTGATCCCTCTCTGGATTTGGAGATATTGCCATGCACTGTGGCCATTACACTATGGTGTGACAGTGGAGGATTTGAGTCAGCTTTGAGAGAGGGGAGAGCTGGGGTGGACCAGGGGTATGCTGCCCAGGGAAGGCTGCTTTGTGGGAGAGCTTGTGAGCATGCGGTCTGAGATAAGGGGCAACCAGACAGAGGGTGGAAATAGTGTCTCCACTTGCTCACTGGCCCTGTCTGTTTTATTCACTGTTTACAGACCCTGTGCTGTTCTCACACGTACCCATGTGACATTATTGACTTATCCTGACCTCACAGAGTCCCAAATCGATGGCTCCTGAAGGGTTTTCATGGTGATCTGCTTCTGACTCTTGAAAGCTTTAAAGAAATTGGATCAGAGAGGTTCAGTGAGTTGTGAAGAGACTCCCAGTTTGTGAACGAGCCAGGAGGAAAACAAGTGTTGTTCACTGTCTCACTAGAAGTCACTAGAAATAATCTAATGAGAAGGACCTTTTGAGAAACTGTAACCCATAAAATTAAAATGAAAAAGTCTTGCCTTCAATCCCTCCATACTCCTTTTACTGGGCTTTCTGTGGAGTTTCTTCTTGGAGATGTAAGCAATGTTAATTTGGAAGCGTTCAGTGATGCAGCATTAGTAGCTTATGTTAATTTTAGTGAAAGAGTAATGCCTCATCCTGTATGTAGTTGAAGTTGTTTATGTTAATAATTCAGAAAATTACCTACGCTGTATAACCATGGAAAAGTGGAGTCTATGAAAAGCTGTATGGCTTAGTCCCCATGACCACTTCCAGTCTCATGTGCACAGGTGGTGCTGCCCTTGCATGGTCCTTCCTTGGCCTCCCCGCTGAACCTTCCTGCTTCTCTATACTCTCCCCAGAGTAGCAGAATGAACACACCTCAGGTGAGCTCTTTATTCATTTCCCACTTTGCACTGTAATGGAATTAGGAGGTTTCATAAGGGTCCATACATTCAATGCAAAAAGAGAAATAGAAATAAAGAGTCTTGAGGGAAAATACACACGGTTTCAGCATTAGCTCTGTTGTTTGCTGTGGACTCTTGGTAGGTAAGCTTTGATAACTATATTCCCTCCAATTGCCAGTTCGCTTACATTTCAGTTTAATCATGAATTTTTTTTAACTATATTAAGAACTAATTCTGCATCTGTTGAAATAAAGACATAGCTTACTTCCTTTAATCTGTAAATATCGTGAGTAGTAAAATGAATTTTCCAATATTAATTCATCGTTGATTTCCTGTATACACCCTATTTATCACTAGTTAGGTGAGCCTATCATTCCCTTTTTCCGTGTTTCCAACCTATTTTGGTGTTACACTTATATTAGCCTCATCAAAAGAATGTGACACTGTCAACTTTTTGTGTGTGTAATGTTTTTTCCTCTGTATTTTATTAGTTAACAATTGACTTTTGTTTGTGGGGGATTATTGTGTGAAGATTTTGAGTACCAAATCCGCTTATTAAAGAACACAGGTCTCTCCTATGTTTTTCTCTCACCGTGTATCTTTGAAAGAGCAGAAGTGTTTAATCAATCAAATTTTCAAAATTTTTATCTTTTTCTTTTATTAGTTATGCTTTTTTGATCATATATAAGAAATCTTCCTAAACCATGGTCACAAAGATTTTCTCTCCTGTTTTGTTAAGTTTTATAATTTCAGTCTGCAATCTTTTCAGTTAACTTTTACAGTACAAGGTTTAAATGAAGATGATTTGTTTTTGCTTATGCACCTTTGATATTCCAACAACATTTTTTGAAAAGAATATACTTTCTGTACTGAATTACTTTGGCACCTTTGTTGGGAATCATTCAATCTTTTATTATTTGTTGCTATGTTTCTCGAGTCAGTGTTGTCTTTTGTAGATGTGTGTCGATCCTTTTGCTAATATTATACTGCCTTGATTACTGTTGGTTTAAAGTAAGTCTTGAAATCAGTATTGTGAATCTCCCAACCTTGTTCGTTTTTCATAATTGATTGGACATGTAAATCCTTTGCTTCTTCATGAAAGTTTTAGAATGTACCTTTCTGTCTTTAGAACGTGCTCTAATTTTGTGTGTGATTGCAGTGACTCTATACATCAATTTTATACCTTCTTTTTATGTTCCAAAATCATGTAACCAACACTGCGGTGTATAATTCCATCTCTATGTTGGTAGATAATCGTGAATGCAAATGAAGAACATCTCCCTCACTGTGACCCTCTGCCCATCACCTTGCTTTTGTTCTTCTAATCTCAGTGTATGGCTGAGTTAGAGAAACCCAGTATCTTTTTTCCTGTAAGTCTCCTTTACTACTCATACAGAATACATTACTTCTGACACTTCTGGTCACCAAATGTGTGGGTTTTGTTCCCCCACCAAGCAAGTTTCTGGAATATCACCTGGCATCTTACAGTTTAATTCATCTGCCACTATCTACCTGGAGATAGCATCAGATCCCACAGGTAAAGGGCTCAGTCTACAGGACTGCTCCCACCCCAGTTGAGATACCAAGCGCAAGTCCCAGTTGTCACCTGTGCTTCTGACCTTGGGCTGTACATCTGAAGTCCCATAACCGTCTTCTGGGTTTGATTAATTTGCGAGAGCAGCTTACAGAACTCAGCGAAAGGCATTATTGGTTTTTAAAGGACATGATAAAGGATACAGGTGAACAGCCAGATGAAGACATACATCGTGTGTGGTCAGGGAGGGTCCTGAGCACAGGAAATTCTGTTCTCATAGAGTCGGGGTGCATCCCTCTCCTGATTCATGGCTATTATGTTAACCAACCTAGAAGCTCTCCAAATGTGTACTTTTGGGGTTTTTATGGAGGAGTCATCATGTAGGCATTATCACTTAACTAACTTTATTTTCATCACTCCCTCCCCTCTGGAAAAGTGGGAGGCAGGGCTGAAAATTCTAAGCTTCCAATTATGACTTGGTCTTTCTGGTGACCAGAGCCCATCTTGGAGCTCACCCAAAGTCACCTCATTAAAACAAAAGATGCTCCAGGTGCTCTCACCACTTAGGAATAGACCAGGGTTTTAGGAGCTCTGTCCCAGGAACGAGGGGCAGAGACCTATATAGCCAGGTGCTTCTCTGCTTATAATGGGGTTACATCCTGATAAACCCATTGTAAGTTGAAAATACTGTAAGTCAGAAATGGAGTTAGTACAGCTAATCTACCATCCATCACAGCTTAGCCTAGTCTTCCTTCATCATCCTCAGAACGCTTACATTAGCCTTCAGTTGGGCAAAATCATCTAACAGAGCCGATTTTGTATTACAGTGTTGAATATCTCATGTAATTTATTAGGCATATCACTTTCACAGCATATAACGGTAAAGTACTAAGTTGAAGCATCGGATGTCAGGGCACCTGTATATACATTTTCTCTTATCAGAATGGCATCAGCATTTATCCAGTAGCTCATGGGGCTTCTCCATTTACAGCTGTATTGAGTATAATGATCAAAATTTAGATTCTTGCTCTCATAGGAATCAGTTTTTTATTTCCCCCCTGACTGCTTTCCCTTAATAAAGGTCATCGCTCTCTGTCTTTTTAAAATTCAGTTTATTTAAAGTAGCAAAACCAAACAGTTCACCCATTTCTCCCACTCCTCATCCTTAGCCTTTGGCAGCCGCCAATCTGTTGTCAGAAGGAGCTTAGGGTTCTTTTTGTGTTTTTTTTGTAGTTTCCATGTATATAAGAGGTCATCCGGTAGTTGTGTGACTTATTCCACTTGGCATAATGCCCTCGATGTCCTTAAATTGGTCTTCTCTCTTTTGCTAAGTAAAACTTTCTCCACTCTTGCACAGCATTGCATCTGAAAGACAAGTCTGATGATGCGTACTACCTGCAGAGCTTACCTGTGTCTCATTGTGGGTTCCCTGTTACCCCGACAGAACTCCAAGGGGTGTGTGTACCCTAGATATGCTCAGGAAAGTCAGCTGTGGTACAGGAAGAGATGACAGGAAGTCTAGTTATAAAACTCTATCTAAAAAACAATCACTAAACTTCATCATTAGTATATTAAGTGAGAGTCTATGGTATATCATTTAGAAGTAAATACAAATACCTCAGGGCATGAGAATACTATTTGTGCCATTTATATGCATACCCTGAAAGTGTAAGACAATGTAGGGCCATCTTAGGCTTCCTTTATACAATTTTGTTTTAAATTTTCAACAGGAAACCTGATACAAATTAGTTTTAAAAGGCACTTGCCATGTCACCTGTTTCTGAAGCCTTCAGATTGACTAAAAAATATGCTGTTACAGGCCTCAGTGACCTTCAAGGATGTGATTGTGGAGTTCACCCAGGAGGAGTGGCCGTATTTGGGTCCTGCTGAGAGGGCCCTCTACAGAGATGTCATGCTGGAGACCTACAGCCACCTCGTCTCTGTGGGTGAGCAGACCTGACCAACTTGACTCCCTCTGAATACAATTCTGTTTTCTCTCTTTAATATTCAAATAACTTTTTTGAGGGGTGTAATTAACAGAAAGTAAAAGTAATGTTCAGTGTATAATTTGATGAGTTTTGGAAATGTCTAGGCAATCACCAGGACCAAAATAATGACATACAATAATTTTGGCACCCCAAAATTTTCCTTGTAGCTCTTTGCAGTCATTTTTCTCCCCCCACCCCTCTCTCTGGCTCCTATCATCTTCTGATATACTGTCTGTTGCAAAAGTTTTGCTTTTCTTGAATTGTGTTTACATCATACAGTATTTATACTTTTTTCTTGCTTATTTCCCTTAGCTCTTATTCTTTTTTTAATTTATTTATGTAAATATTAAATTTATTGGTTAATAATATAATATACATTTCAAGGGTACAAGTCTCTAACTCACCATTGGTGCCATATTTTGCCGTGTATAATGTACAATCTTTTGTCCCAATTTGTGAGGGAAAGATAGGATGCCTATTATATATGGGTGGTACTTATTCCATATCTATATAAATGTTTTTAATTCTTTTTTTATGCTTATGAGTTAGAAGTATAACTCTAGAAATCATTAACAATATCCATATGTAAAATCATACGTTGGAATAAATAATTGGTTTTGTTGAATTAACGACGAACTTGCAACAATGATGAGTTCTTGGACTTCTATGATGCGTGAATATCGTAAATTCATTGCCAGTACATAAAGCTGCTTGTACTGTGCATCTGTTCTTGTGTTTTGTATATTTGTTACATAAAATTTCTTGTAACATAATATGTTAATAAGTAAATGCTTAAAATTTTTTTATGATGCAAACAAGTACATAAATGTAAACAAATACAAATTTGAATTAAAAAATTAAAATGGAAAATTTTTTTTCTGAAAGTTTGGGCCAAAAACGTGGGTATGCATTATATACAGCAAAATATGGTATATTGCATTGTGTGTTCACCACCCAAATTCAAATCTCCTTCCATCACCTTATATTTGACCCCACTGTATCGTTTTCTAAATTTCCTTTGTTTCTGGTAACCACCATGCTGTTGTCTGTCTATGAGTGTTTGTTTGTTTGTCTTGCTTGTTTTTTACTTTCAGTTATATATCTCACATATGAGTGAAATCATATGGTTCTCGACTCTTTCCATCTAACTTACTTGGCTAGCATGATAATCTCAAGATCCATGTATGTTGTCACAAATGGCAGTATTTTATCTTTTCTCATGGTCGAGCAGTCCATTGTATATAGGTACCACATCTTCTTTATCCCGTCATCTATTGAAGGACACTTTGGTTGTTTCCATGTGTTGGCCACTGTGAATAATGGTGTAATGAACGTAAGGGTACATGTATCTTTACAGATAAATGTTTTCAGATTTTTTTGGGTAGATCCTCAGAAGTCAAGATTGCTGGGTCACTTGGTAATTGTATTCTTTATTTTTTGAAGAATCTCTACTGTTTTCCATATGGCTATACCAATTTACATTCCCACCAGCAGTGTATGGGAGTTTCTTTTCCCCCCACAATCTCGCCAACACTTGTTATTCCTTGTTTTGTTGATAATAGCCATTTTCACAGGTGTGAGGTGGTATCTCATTGTGGTTTTGATTTGCATTTCCCTAATAGCTAGTGACTTTGAGCATCGCTTTAAGTATCTGTAGGCCTTTTGTCTCTCTTGGGAGAAGTTTCTGTTCAGATTGTCTGCCCATTTTTTAATTGAATTGTTTGCTTTTTTCTTGTTGTTGTCCTTGATTTATGAGTTCTTTATATTTTTTAGTTATCGCCCCTTATCAGAGTTGTCGTTTAGCTATTCTGCTGGTTGCCTCTTTGGTTTGTTGATGTTTTCTTTTGCTGTGGAAAAAGCTTTAGTTTGATGTAGTCCCATTCATTTATTTTTGTTTTTACTTCCTTTTGTTTTTGAGATCAAATTCATAAAATCCTAAGACCAATGTTTTGTTTGATGTACTTTATTGTTTCAGGTCTTACATTTATGTGTTTTGATCCAGTTTGAATGAATTTTGCCATATGGTGACAAATAGCAATCTACAATAGTTTCATTCTTTTGCATGTGGCTTTCCAATTTTCCAAGCACCATTTATTGAATAGGCTTTCTTTCCTCCACTGTAAGTTTTTGGCTCCTTTGTTCAAAATTATTTGCCCATATATATGTAGGTTTAATCGTGGGCTGTCATTTCTGTGACATTGGTCTATATATCTGTTTTTCTGCCAATACCATGCTGTTTTGATTATTATCTCTTTGTAGCATTATTGGAAGTCAGGTGACGAGGCCTGCTCGTCTGCGGTGGCCACCTGGCTCGTCAGCCAGGCACCTAGAGGGTTAACCTGAGTGGACTGGATGAGGAGATGAGAAAAGAAAGACACAGAGATCAAAGTTCTTTGGGTCCAGGAGGTCCACTGTCTGCTGATGGCGAAAAGTGGCCCCGTTTATTGCTTGTACACAGTTTTTATAACAGAAGTAGATTTCTTTAGGTAAGGGGTTTTGGGAGCTTGAGGGAGTGGGGAAGGAAATATTCCCGAAGTGAGACAAAGTAGAGCAAGTAGAAACTGCTAACTGGCTGGCAGTTCATTCTGTAACTTTTAAGGTTGTCTGTGACGTAGGCTTGTTCTTTCTTCAGAGGCGCAGTGGAGAATGAGATCTATCTAGCAACCTTCCCACACAGCGCACCCAGGCCTGAGAGCCTGTCAGCTTGCCAGCTGCCAGGCTTAACCCTTACTGCAGACCTCCGGCTCTCCACAGTCAGGGAGTGTGATCCCTCCAGTTTTGTTCTTTGTTCTCAGGATTGCTTTGGCTAATCAGGGTCTTCTGTGGTTCCATACAAATCTGATGACTTTTTTTGTTCTATTTCTGTTTAAAAAATGCCATTGGGATTCTGATGGACATTACATTAAATCCGTATATTGCTTTGGGTAACAGTCATTTTAACTCTGTTAAATCTTCAATTCACGAACACAGAATTTCTTTCTATTTCTTTGTTTCACTTAGCTTTTCAGGTTCGTGCATGCTTTGTGTATCTCACCTTTCTTTTTATTCCTATGTAGTGTTTCTTTGCATGCTTATACCACAGTTTGTCATCCTTATACCAGTTGATAGACACGTAGGTTTTTCCTTATTTGTGCTGTTAGGAATAGAGCTGCAAAGTCCATTTAAGTAAAAGTATGTGTAGATATTTATTTTAATTGCTGTTGTGTAAATAATTCAAAGTATGCTATTATTGTTGGTCACTTTATTGTTAGTCACTGGTATTATATGGTCACATTATAGGAACCTGCCCAATGTTTCCAGTGTGGCTGTGCCAGTTTACATAGCCATTAGCAGTGTCTGATAATTTTGGTTGCTCGGGCGCAGCTCACTGGCCCATGTGGGAATTGAACCGGCGACCCTGTTGCTCAGAGCTCATGCTCTTAACCAACTGAGCCACTCAGCCAGCCTTCTTTTTGTATTTAATAAAAAAACAAACGTTTATTTCTCACAGTTGTGGAGGCTGGAAGTCCAGGATCATGGCCCCAATAGATTCGATGTCTAGTGGAGGCCCACTTCTGGGTTGCAGGCTGACAGCTTCTCCCTGTGCTCACATGATGGTCATTACTTTCTTTTTTTGAAGATTCTAATGGATGTCTTTGTATCTTACTGGGTTTTAATTTGTATTTTCCCGATGACTAACGAAGTTGAACACCTTTTCAGGTACATGTTGACCATGCACATATTCTGTTTCTTGAAGTCTGTTCAAACCTTTAGCCCATTTTAATTAATTTATTTATTTATTCATTTATTTATTTATTTATTTTTATTTTTAAAGGTTTTATTGGGGAATTGGAGGAAGGGAACAGAATGGGGAATCAGGGAAGGGGAACAGACAAGTTGCTGTCCTTTTTTGTTCTTCAGTCTAGTTGTGGAGGGTGTCGCTTCACTGGCCCATGTTGATATTATTATTGCACTCTTTCCGGGTGAGGCGCATTGGCTGTGGGCCCCTGACGGCTGCTCACGGAGGCTCTTGGCAGCTCACGCTGCTGCCGGCTGCTCACAGTAGCTTACGGCAGCCCACTGCAGCAGGGGAGGCAGCCTACGCTGTTGCCAGCGACCCACGGCAACCCAGCTCCAGGTTGAGCTGTTGTTCATAATCATAGCTGTAGAGGGGACAGCATCACTAGCCCTAATGTGGGATCTGAACCAGGGCCGTGCTGCTCAGAGCTGGCATCCCAATCCAACTCTGAACGAACATGCCACTCGGCCGGCCCTTTTTGTTTTTTTAGTATATTATTGGTTTTTCTTTTATATTTCAAGGTTTGTGTGTCTATTTAAAGAAATTTTGGGGCCAGCCGAGTGGCTCGTTGGTTAAGACTTGGCTTGGCAGCGCAAGCTCTGAGCAGCAGGGCCACCTGTTCGGATCCCACATTAGGGCCAGTGATGCTGAGCCCTCTACAGCTAAGATGGTGAACAACAGCTCAACCTAGAGCTGGGCTGCCATGAGCTGCTATTAGTGGCAGTCCAATGGATGGCGACTGATCTGCCTCAGCTGGGAGAAGCGCAATGATCACAATACCAACATGGGCCAGTGAAACGATGTCCTCCACAACTAGACTCAAGAACAAATGGACAGCAATTTGTTCCCCTTCCCCGATTCCCCAACGCTGTTCCCTCCCCCAATTCCCCAATAAAATCTTTAAAAAAAAAAAAACTAAAGAAAGAAATTTTTGCCTGTTTAAAATCATTAAAATTTCCTCCTGTGCTTTCTTGAACTGTTTTTATAGTTTTACATGAAGGGCTATGATTCACTGTTGTTATGTATATGCTGTGAAATAAGGGTTGTGGTTCACTTTCTCCATATCTATGTCTTGTCTAGTTTTAGTGACACCATTTACTGGGAAGATTATTAGTTTTCCATTGAACTGCCTCGGCTTCTTTGTCAAAAACAAATTTACCGTATATCTGTAGTTCTGTGC